ATTTATTTATTACTTAAGGAAACTGAGATACAAGAGATTAAGTAACTTTTCCAGGACCATGATTCAATAAGTATACTCAATGCATCCTTTATGTATAAATAAATACCTGACTGAATAATAAATTCTGAAGAAACATGATCATTGCATATACAATGGTAAACAAAAAGGTAAACAAAATCTTACCTTTTTTTGTTCATAGCCAGACAAATTCAGAGAGAAGATTTAGATCACAAAAGATATAGGGACTGAGAAAAGGACTAACAAATCTGACCTTCAGTATAACTATTGGGAACTTGTTGTCTGGCAGGTATTCTTTATATCATTGCTAGGTGCTCAAGGTTCATAAAAAACAAGGTACTTTGACAACTATCTCTGGTACTTCAGCAGAGTAGTTCTCCATAGATAGGAACAAAGTCACTTTTTGTAACGAATTCAATCATTTGATATTAGTTAATTAACAGATATAATCAAGTACCTATATTAATAATAATGATAATGAAGATGATCATATTAATAATACTGTGTATTATATGATTAAAAAAATCAGATATCAAGGACATTTTATGACAGGTTTCTTGGCAACCAATGTTGGTGTGGAGAAAAAAGGGGATGCTCATACACTGTTGGTGGGATTGTAAACTAGCTCAACCTCTATGGAAAACAGTATGGAGGTTTCGCAAATAAATGAAAATAGAACTACCATTCTATTCAGCAACCCCGCTATTAGGTATCTACCCAAAGGAAAAGAAATCATTATATAAAATAGATACCCGTACTCATATGTTCATTGCAATACTGTTCAGAATAGCAAACTCATGGAACCAACCTTAAGTGCCCATCAATGATGGACTAGATAAAGAAAATGTGCTATATACACACCATGGAATATTATGTAGCCATAAAAAAATGAATTCATGTCCTTTGCAGCAACATGGATGGAGATGGAGAACATCATTCTAACTGAACTAACTCAGAGACAGGAAACCAAATACCGTATGTTCTCACTTATATGTGAGAGTTAAATGGCCATGAAGATGGAATTCGCAGACAATGGGGAAGGAGGGAGGAGGGTTAGGATTCAGAAGTTACCTATTGAGTATAATGTTTACTCTCTGGGGAATGGGTCACCTGAAGCTCAATCCTCACCAGTACACAGCATGTTCATGTAACAAACTCGTAATCCCTGAACCTAAAATTTAAAAAAAAGGAAAAAAAAACCCTATTACCTGATTTAGCAAATAAGTTACTTCTTCACATCACTGAAAAATGTGTAGAGTTCCATATTTTTTGTTGTTTCACTTTCTTATTAACTCATGAACATAACTCCGACTCATTAACATAAATTAAAATATCAACTAATGCCCACGTTAGAACTGTATTTATTTGTCAGTTGTAGCCATAAGTGGGTTATGAATACAAGAGTTCATCAAAAATCAGTAAACATTCTGTAAGAATCAATTGGTTATATATAATTTATAATAAAGAATAATACATATTTTATTATTATTTGTAAATTATGTGCCTCGCAATAAAATTTATAATAAGCTGATGTATGTATGTACATATAAACACATAAATCCCCCAAACCATAAATTAAAATCTTTAACTTCAAACATTTTTTTTTTGAGTTGAAGTCTCACTCTGTCACACAGACAGGCACGCTCCCGGCCACTGCAACCTCGACCTGCTGGGCTCTGGCGATCCTTCCGCCTCAGCCTTCCAAGTTGCTGGAAGTACAGGCGTGTGCTTCCACGCCTGGCTAATTTTTGATTTCATTGTAGAGACAAGGTCTCCCCAAGTTGGGTAAGTCTCGAACCGACGGGCTCAGGCAATCCACTCGCATTGGCCTCCCAAAGTGCTGAGATTATAAGCTGAGCCACCGAGCCCAGCCTAACTTCAAACTTGTTATAAAATAAATTTATTAAAAGAAACAAAAATAGCACTATGGTTTTATTTAAAAATAAATTTTCTTAGATATAGTCAATATTTATCACATTTGATTACCAATTCCTTAGCAATATGAGGTTAGTAGAGTCTTCTAGTTCTGGCTTTTAGTTCTAGTGCAATGTGCTGATGAATTTGGTTCCCTATCTTGGTGCTCATATGGTTCTTGGAATCTAGTAGCAGAAACTCTCAAGCTCTCATGATTTCTGCCCTCAGTGGCTGATTATTTGTAACACAAGGTCTTGTTTCCCTTACTGTTTCCACAGCATGGGGTGTTTGTTCTACCTGCATGCTATCCTTTTCTCTCAGATATCAACCTGGCTTACACATTCACCTTTTCAGAGAAGGCTTTCTTAACCACTTTATTTAAATTAAAACTCATTTCCTCAATTTCCTATTTGTTTTCCTGCTTTATTTTTCTCCATGACTTTTGTGACTTTATAATTTTTTTTATATAATTTGTCTCTTCATTTTATTCACTGTATGTCTCCCTCTATAATTTAAGCTCATTGAGGGCAGGGATTTTGTCTGTTCTGTTTATTAGTACATAGTAGGCACCCAAATAATATTTGCTAAATGTTTGAATGCATGATGTCCTTGGTCCTGGGTACATTAATGTCTTATATTACTTGATGATGAACTTAATTATTTTGCTTTACTCTGCACACATTATTAAAGTTATACTTTCCTTTGGTCATTTTCTACCTGAAGTTAAATGTCAAGCTTCTATGTCTTCTTAAAATTCACTTTGGGGTGTCCATTAAAAGGGACTGTGACAATTTGCACCATGTAGTTACCTGACATCATTCCACTTCTGGATGCATCCATTCCAGTTAGTAATACAAACTCTGCCAACAACTATTCTTCTACTAATGTTGTCGATGTCATTGCCTTTGACCATCCCAGAAAACCCATTATATTAGCCGTTCCTTACTTTCCTGTAGCCTCAGACTGTTCCCACTACTATATTCCAATCATTTTTTTTTTTTTTTGAGTTGGAGTCTCACTCTGTCGACCAGACTGGACACCGCAGCCTCGACCTGCTGGGCTCTGGCGATCCTTCCACCTCAGCCTTCCAAGTAGCCAGAATTACAGGCATGCGCTACCACGCCCGGCTGATTTTTTTATTTATTGTAGAGATGAGGTCTCGCTGCCCAGGCGGGTCTCGAACCCGCAGGCTCAGGCAATCCACTCACCTCAGCCTCCCAATGGCGTGGGATTACAGGCTGAGCCACCAAGCCCGGCTCCAATCATTATTTTAAAAAGAAAAAAAGAAAAACACACCCCCCATTAGAAGATAATCTTTACTTTAATCTTTGTTTCTTTCATACAGGTTGAGTGTCCCTTATCTGAAATGCTGGGGAACAGGACTGTGCTGAATTTTAGATTTAAAAAAATTTTGGAATATTTGCATTATACTTACCAGTTGAGTATCCCCTGAAAATCAAAAATCAAGAATGCTCCAGTGAGCATTTCCTTTGACATTATGTCAGCCATCAAAAAGTTCCAGATATTGGAACATTTCAGATTACAAATTTTTGGGATACTTAATCTATATTACAATAGTGCCTATCTTCGCAACCATTCCGCTTGTAAGTGTTGTCTATACATTCTCAATTTATTTATATCTACACACTATTCCACCTACTGTATTTGAATTTTATCCCCCAAATTCTATACTTTTTTAAAAACTAAAGTAATTCAGGACTTGTTGCCACTAAATGCAACAAGTACTTTTCAGTCTTTATCATGCTATTTGAAACATTCACCCTTTTTCTTTCATCTCATTTCATGGTATCATATTTTTCCAATTTTTCTTTGGTCACCCATCCTTGAACTAATTTGTGAGTTATCACCTTTTGTCATCTTCCCTGGTGATGTCAGTTACTTTTATGGCTTTAATTATTACTAGTGTATTTGACAGCTCCCTAAAGCATATTTCTAGCTGAAATCTTTTTGCCTAGGCTTCAAATCATTATCCAATGGACAGTTTATAATTTTTTGTTTTTTGTTTTTGTTTTTTGAGTTGGAGTCTCACTCTGTCGCCCAAACTGGAGTGCAGTGGCCGCTCCCGGCCACCGCAGCTCGACCTGCTGGGCTCCGGCAATCCTTCCGCCTCAGACTTCCAAGTAGCCGGAATCGCAGGCACACGCTACCACTCCCGGCTAATTTTTTGATTTATTGTAGAGATGAGGTCTCGCTGCCCAGGCGGGTCTCGAACCCGCGGGCTCAGGCAATCCTCCCACCTCAGCCTCCCAAAGGCGCGGGATTACAGGCTGAGCCACCGAGCCCGGCTGACAGTTTATAATTTGATGTCCCACAGAAACCCCCAATTCAGTAGGTCTACTACTAACTAGCCCCTCTTATGTTCCTTTCCTCACAGAATATCTCTACCTTTCACACAGTGTAGCCAGAGGCTTGATATCATCCTGAATCATTCCTCATTTTCTCTCACTTCTCACATTATATTTACTTGATGTGGCTAGTAGAGCTTAAAACTGATTCTCTTGAAATTGAGTGCCTAATAAAAAAGTGCCTAATAAAAAGTTAAATTTTAGCCGGGCTCAGTGGCTCAGCCTGGCGGAGCCCAGCAGGTCGAGGCCGCGGTGGCTGGGAGCGGCCACTGCACTCCAGTCTGGGCGACAGAGTGAGACTCCAACTCAAAAAAAAAAAAAAAGTTAAATTTTTCTAACTTTCCATGTCTTACTACCAGTAGTGATAATTTATTATATATTATTTCATTTAGAGATGGAGATATTGAGGCTCAGATAAGCTGGAACATGGTAAAAGTCTCTAGAAAATAAAAAAAAAATGTAACCAGTTCTCTGAATCCCTGCTAATTTCTTTTCATTGTATTGTTATAAACATACAAGATACTTCATGTATTGGATATCCTCCCCAACCCCCCAAACATGAGTCATGTTTTCTTTCAGTTTGACATGGTCATTGCTTATCCTGTAGCACTGTCTCAGGTTTCTGGCATACTGACACACCAGTATATTCAGAATGAAATGTATTGAAGATAAGGATTATGTATGATATATTATACATTAGTGTCAAGTTTTCCTTAGTATTAAGGACATGATTATGTTCATTGTCTCTCTCAACACTTCCTTTACCTTTTTATTCCTCAAACTGTAGACAAAAGGGTTCAGAAGAGGGGTCACCACTGTGATGAGGACAGCAGCTACCTTGTCAAAATCCAGTGAGGATTTCTGATTAGGTCTCACATACACAAAGATATTGCTCCCGTAAGCAATGGAAGCAACAGTGATGTGAGAAGTGCAGGTAGAAAATGCTTTTTGACGGCCGTGAGCTGAGGGGATGTGCAGTATGGCAGAAATAATATAAATGTAGGACACAGTAGTGAATGCCAGAGAACTCAGGATGACAAGGGCAGAGAGGAGGAAGTTTATCTTCTCAATGAGGTGTCTATACATGCCACCTGTAGAAGAGGGGCAATGTCACAGAAAAAATGATTAACTTCTTTCCTACAGTAAGGTAGCTTTGTCACTACGATGGTTGGGACCAACACAGACAGAAAGGCTCCCACCCAGCAACTCAGAATCAGCAAGTGGCAGGCCCTGCTGTTCAAGATGATGGGGTAGTGCAGAGAGTTACAGATGGCCACATAGCGGTCAAAGGACATCACTGCCAAGAGGATAAACTCCATTGTCCCCAGAAAGAAGTAGAAATATGTTTGAAAAATGCAGCCAGAGAAAGATATAGTCTTGTCTCCTAGGAGGCAGGCTAACAACTTTGGTGTGTAATGACAGTGGTGTATAAAATATCCAGAAAAGACAAATTACAGAGGAAAAAGTACATTGGGGTTTGCAGGCGATGATCAATCCATGTCAGGGAGATAATGATCATGTTTCCTGTTGCTGTTAATGTGTAAGTCAACAAGAGGAGCACAAAGAGGGATATTCGAATCTCCAAGAGAGCTGGGAAGGCAATGAGGGTGAATTTGGTCACTGTGCTCCAATTTCCCATGAATATTCCTACATGGTGGGCAGAGTTTCCCTGAAGAAATAAGAAAAGAAAGATCAACTTAGGTAATTTTATAAATATCTGTTGAAATGTATTGTAAAGAATACCTTACATTGGAAAATGAATCATGGTTTATAGTCCTCTACCTGAAAGTTATTATTGTGCCACCTTGGGAAAGTAAAAATACTATTTAGACACACCTTAACTGTAACATGAAGGAATAAGGCTGGATTAAAAAACAAACCAACAACAACAAAAAAAACTCTAAGCTTCCTTCTAGTTATAAAATTCTGTTTCTTCTTATTAAATTAAATTTCTATTCTTTTCTACTCCTCTGGCCTCATTTCCCCAGCTAAAAATGTGCTACAGTTCTGACTCATATTTTAACTAGAACTCCCTTCTGGTAGTCTGAAGTTTATAGTCACTGAGTGGGAAATTCTTTCAAATACTTTGTAGTCTTTTCTATAACAAATTTTCTTTCACTTTGGTGGTTGTCATGAGTAAGAGATAAAGATTAATTTAGTTTTTTATACATTTGGATACCTCTAGAATCCCTCAGTATATAAATCTGTGGAAATAGTCTGGACATATTTGAAGGAAACAATGGCTTAGGGTTCCAGTTAATCACTTTAGATGACACTTAAAAAAGTAATCACTGCAGCCTTGACCTGCTGGGCTCAGGTGATCCCTCCACCTCAGCCTTCCAAGTAGTTGGAACTACAGGCACACGCCACCATGCCCCGCTAACTTTTTGATTTATTGTAGAGAAGAGGTCTTACCAAGTTGCCCAGGCTGGTCTCAAACCTGTGGGCTCAGGCAATCCTCTCATCTCAGCCTCCCAAAGTGCTGGGATTATAGGCATGAGCCACTGTGCCCAGCAGGATATGCAGAAATTATAAAACTACTTCAAGACCATCTATTTGATTCTTTATTTCAGTATCTAAGAAATGATTTTTTTGGTAAAGATTTTCCTTTTTTTTTTTTAATTGGAAAACATGGTTTATTTAGAAAGTAGACTAGAGAGAGAGAGAAAAGGGGAATCCACCTCTCCCAAATTGGGGAGGGGGCCAGAACTGACAGAGAAGCATGGCCTGATTTCCCCCTTTTATATTAAAACTGCCCATGCTTTAACTTTGACCTTGGTGCTTTCTTTATATAGATTTCACTTAGCGTTTCCTTAATAAATAAGTTAGTATCCCTCCTTTCTTTGCTACTGATCGTAGTCACCTCATTTCCCTTTTTCCACCTACCCAAGATAAAATAAGTTTGCCCTCCTATTTTATTTTTTATTTCAAGAAAGACATTTTCAGTATAAATAATTAAAAAATGCAATTGCAAAAAAAGAAAATCATAATCTGTGACCAAATTTCATGGAGATACAGTGACATTTCAGTGCATATAGTTTTAGGTTGTTTTGAAGTTCAAATTACATACCAATATATCTAAAATAAATCATACTAGCAGACTATTTTGTAACTGGCCTTTTTCCTTTTTTTTCTGTCTTTTTTTCTTTTATGACATATCATTTTTTCAGATCAATTACTAGAATTCTACATAATCATTTTTTAAGGATCATGTAGTGTTTTTGATTCTATGAATGGACTCACAATATATTTAGCCAACTGCTTAGTATTGGATATTTAAGTGGTTTGGGTTTCTAACTTATATGGACAATAATCAAATAAATATTCTTTTACATAAATTTTTGCTTAGTTATTTTATTCCTGAGAATCTTCTTTTCCAATAGGATGTTTACCCTCACTATTTCTATCTTAATATAAAAACCCAAGAAAAAATTAGATTTTTACCTTACTAGAGCAATTGACAGTGTTAAAACAATTATTGATCTCTTCCATGGGTTCTTGGTCTCAGGTAATAATTCTATATCATAGCTAGGTTCAGGTAGCTGATGTTTCAATAGAACTGAAATGCTGTGCTCGTGTTTTAAAAAATTACCTTTTATGTTCTGGATTTTAGCTTTCTCATCTGAAAAATTATAATGCTGGGTTACACATGCTTTATACATGCAGTCATATTACGAGGCTCAAACTGTAATTATTATGTGTGTGTAAATTAATTCTAAGCATTATGTTTTGAAGTTATTATTATTTATTGCTAATTCTATTCCTATTTCTAACTCATAGAAATATCTCTCAAAGATGAAATAAACCTTACTAGATCACTGAACATCTAACTCCAGTATGAATCTTTCTGATTAGCATTAAAAAGTTGAGGCATCAACCGGTCATGGCTGGATTAGAGTAGATCTTCCCTGACTTCCATTTAAGAAACCTAGAAAATTATCGATTATCAATTCTCAGTTATTTCCCCCCATTCAGGAAGGCTTTATTTTGTTGCTTTGGTTAATTCTCAATCATTTTAATTTTTAGTAACTAGGAAGTTTATATAGAATCTCATACAACTAACTCATCTAGACGTGGCTGTGGGATCCTTCTTAAACATACTCACCAAGCGTATGACTCAGTGGAACGAATGCAATAAAGTTTTTGGTATTTCATTTTATTTTCATGGTGATTAGTATATCCTTTCGATTTTACTAAATGGTCTTCAATACTGTAAATATTTTACCAGATTAAAGGTGACTTGAATTTTTTAAAGTTTACGTCTTTTCTTTTATCTAGAGAATAAAGTTTCCTTTCCTGATCATTGATTTCCCCTAAGTGGATGAATTATGTTTTTCATGGGTTTATTTGCCTTAGAGATTTAGGTGAGAACAGCTCTTGGGGATATCGGTCAGAATACGTTAATTAATAATATTGTTATAAAAGAATGTTGGTTCTGAACTTCCTATTTATAATTACAAAGTTTTAGAAAGTCTACGGATAGATCTGTTAGGGGCTCCTTGGGGATTTTTCCAGACATTTTGCTTTATCCATTTAAAGAAAAAAGAATTCTTAAAAAAAATTTTTACAAGGAAGCTAAAAACATGGAACACTTTTCATCCTTCTTATGTTATTGATATAATAGGAAATAGTTTTCAAAAATGAATATTTTAGAGTTTTAGATACAATGTAGTATCTCTGTCTATATTAGCATGAAGTTTTCTTTGGTTCTAGATGAAAATACGGGCATAATAAAATCCCTTGTTTTTCCTCCCAGTTGTGTCAAAAAAGATGAGCCTTTGTACAGAACTCAGCCTAGTACAACTCTGTTCTTTTACACTTTTGACAGCTCTCAAAACTGCAAGTTTACCATATGATTCCACTGTATTCTTTAATGTATATATTTTCAATAAAAATTCATTTAAATATTTTCCTCTTAACTAAAAATATTATATATTTTTGATTTTTTTGTTTTATTTTTGAGGTTAAAATTTTTAAAAAAAATTTATTTTAGAGTCATGGGAGTATATGTGGGAATTTTCACATAGGCAAGATGTGCGAAGGTGAGGCTTGGCTTTTAGTGAGCCCATTTCCCCCAGGAGTGACCATGGTACCCAGTGGGTGGTTGTGTGCTGCCTATCCTCTCCTTCCCCCTCTCCATTAGCAGGTCCAGCATCTGTTGTTCCAGTCTTCATGCCCAGGTGCCCAATATTTAGTGCCAACTTATGAGTGAGAACATGCAGCATTCAGTTTTTTGTTTCTGTGACAGTTCACTTAGAATGATGGTCTCCAGCTGCATCCATGTGACTGCAAAGGACATGATTTTGTTATTCTTTATGGCTGGGTAGTATTCTATTGCGTATATCTACCACCAAAAAATTCTATTTTTTAACCTTAACAGAAATCTTACTTTCACTTGAGGACACTGGTTCCACTGAGGCTCTTTCAAGTAAGAATGTGCATCCTCCTTTCCATGTATCAGAGAGACAGGGGTACACGGCTGGAGGGACATAATTACAACAATTTAACAACTATATTGTGTTATATTTATAATAATAGCATATTAATTATATATTATGTAATATATGGTATATCATACAAATATATGGTATAGTTATATTAATTATATATTATGTACTATATTGTATGATATGTTATATGAGCACATAACATATTTATATTGTTATTAAATTTGTAATAATATGATAATTATAATTTAATTGCTTTTTTATTTTGCTCCCTATTTCTGCTTTCAATCAGAAATTATTTCCCTGGTTTCTATAAAACTTTTCTGAAGCCCATAGCATATAATCTTTTTTTAATAGTATATAATTGCATGAGTTTTCTTTCATTCTACCATTTGTTGCCTCGGTTTCAAGAAAGATATAGACAACTGCCATAGAGTGTTCAAGTAAGACAACTGTGGAAGAGTTTTTTATTTTTTTTATTTTTTCACCTTTAAATTTTTTATTTTAAAATTGTGGGGTATGGAAGAGTTTTTAAAATTGAATTTGAAAATAATTGGTGACACATTTCCTAAAGGCACGTTCAGTGGTTCAGCTCACAAAACACCCTAAAATTTAAATATCTTACTTTTAATGACTATTACCTCCATTCCACTTAAATCATCAACTCCATTATTGTAAATTGGATCTTGAAATTACATGGACTTACTCAATCTTTGAAATCCAAAACTCCAGGATATCAATCTTGGCCATATTCTTCCAATTAAACAGCTCTTTCTTTCTTTCTTTTTTTTTTTTTTTTTGAGTTGGAGTCTCACTCTGTCACCCAGGCTGGAGTGCAGTGGCACGCTCCCAGTCACTGCAGCCTCAACTTTCTGGGCTCCGGCGATTCTTCCGCCTCAGCCTTCCAAGTAGCTGGAACTATAGGCGTGCGCTACCACATCCAGCTAATTTTTGATTTATTGTAGAGATGAGGTTTTGTCAAGTTGCCCGGGTGAGTCTTGAACCCATGGGCTCAGGCAATCCACTCGCCTCGGCCTCCCAAAGTGCTGGGATTGAAGGCTGAGCCACTGAGCTTGGCCAGCTCTTTGTTTCTATACACTTACTTCCAGGCTTTATCTAGAGTTCCTGTTTATGGATGACCTTTTTTTCTCTTCTTTAGTTTTGTATTTATTTTTAGAGACAGGATCTTGCT